TACCCTGACCACCTTGTGGTGTAGGGTATAATGAAAATTATGGCTTTTGACTTTGTTGTACTTTTTTATACCCTACACCACAAGGTGGTCAGGGTATTATGTCTTTGTGCATTTGTTTGTAACAGGCAAAAGGAAAGGAGATAGACCCATAGTTCCTTTTGAAATCGGTTTAGATATAGCTATTGGTCCCATGTATAATGTTCATCCGATTTGTTATTTTTGTCCAGCGCCGCCGTAATATGCCCTCTACAACAACAATATTTGGGGAAATATATCAAATACAGCTCAGAAATACATTTGCTAAATTTTATCGAGATCGGTTCAGATTTGGATATAGCTCCCATATATAACTTCGTCCGATTTACCTTTTATTGTGCACCAAACGTCTAATAATTGTCTAAATGGGATGGAATTTGGCACCTTCGACCGAATTGAGTCTAGATGCTAGTATGTCAAATTTGGTGCAGATCGGTTCAGATATAGCCATAGCTTCCATATATATTGTTCATCAGATTTGTTATATTTGTTACCCACAGCCGTAATATGCACTCCGTAACAACGATATTCAGGGAAATATATCAAATAAAGCTCAGACATATCTTTGCCAAATTTTATCGAGATCGGTTCATATTTGGATATAGCTCCCATATATATCAATACAATTCCGAATTTAAAAGATACAAATGCTTCGGCATATTTAGTCCTTTCAACTTTAAATTATAATTATAATCATAGCGTGTATGATTGAATTCTCCCATAAAAACTTTTAATTGTTATGTGGAGCTCTACTAAATTAGCAAAGTGGTGTAGGGTACCATAAAGTCGGCCCCGCCCGACTTTAAGACTTTCTTTACTGGGTTTTATCTCACCCAGTGTGTGCCGCTTTGAACATTTTGAAGTATAATGCAAATGGCTTAGATCTCTGCTCAAAGGCAGTCTAGTGCACAGAAAACTTTACTCAGAACAATAGTGGGATGTCTAAATTTCTAATTATATAATGACCATTTAAGTCCACATAACCACTGAAAATTTTCAAAATTTGTAGACACCAATATCTTGTTGGTCACAAATATTTTTATTAGACAAATAATGGGATATGCTAACTTGGTTTTAATTAAATAATTAAAAAATATACAAAATTGAAAAAAAAGAAATAAATAAAGCAAATTTACTCGACGAACACTTGAAAATATTTATACACTGCTAAACATGTTTCGATATGAATCTTATATAAATGAGTATAAAAACATACATATACATACTATCAGTACTGCATTTAATTTTGAATTTTTAAATTTTACTGATATAAATATTAAAATTAATAATAACAGCCAATAAATTGTAAATCACACAAAAAATATATTGAACGAAACTGGTTTACAAAATGCAATAGCTGACTTAATTGTTTTACCTTGATATGTTCCAAAAATGATACCAGTTTCTCAATTAAAGTTTTATTCAATTAATGCGGCACACATACACAACTTCATATAAAGCCTCCTAAGATCACATATATATTATTATCCTTTAAAACTTTGATATAAATTTTTAATGTTTTTGGAATATTTTAACAATTAAATATAGAAATAAATACAAAATAATATGATGGCCTTTGTAGTGAATTCAATTAAAACTGTAATTGAGACATTTCAATGCGTCGAATTTGATACTCTCCTCCCACCAAATATATCCTTTTGACGCTTTTGATTAACCCATTGAAAACATGTTTTCAATGACTTTCAACAACAATATCCAACTCCGCCCTCAACTGTTGACCCGAAAAAAATAGTTTTATTTTCAATAACATATAATAAACAGAGGACAGATGAAGAAAAAAGTTCATAGAGCAATTTAAACTTCCATTAACGCTGGCAGGAGGAATTTTCCTATGGCTGAATGCATTCATAAATGTCAATAATCGTTTTTTATTTTTGATGTTAAAACAATTTTGAATGTTAAACTAATTGAGTGAAAATCTATGCATAGGTGGGAGTTTATGTACTTTAAATGCAAGCTACACACAAATGTGTGTTTATTAGGGTGGGTTGTTATTATATGTGCTAATTTGAATTCCAGTTATACTTCTTCTTGAAACAAAGATATCGGCCTTTATACCTCTATTTCGGAAGGTATATTATTATACCCTCCACCTTAGTATAATATAATAGTATAATATTAGGTATATTAAATTTCTCATTTGTTTGTAACACCTCGAAATAGACATTTTACACCCTACAAAGTATATATTCTTGATCAGAATACGATTCTATTTCAATTTAACTATAACCGTCTGTCTGTGGAAGTCAGTCTAGATTCTGAACGAATTAAAGCTCCAAAAATTCGTTCCTAATGGTGGAGGCTGTTCAAAGTTCGCCTTTGCTTTTTTACTTGTTTTTTCATCCATTTCTAACATGAGTTTTTGAGGAAATGTAAGTAAAGAAGTTGTTAAGTTCGGCTGGGCCGAACTTTTTATTCCCTGCACTCCAGACAAAATTGCGTGCCCAAGGCTTTAATACAACCTCCAGAATATTTTCGCGATAATATTCGGCATTTATTCTAATGCTACGGCTGATTAATACGAGCGGAGAGCGACCATCAGCTGTTATGACGGCCCACACCATCACCATGATCGGCGCTTGAGTTCCGGTGGCCAATCGAAGGTGCACATTTTCAGCTGACCTCTTTGGCAAATAAACGCGATCATTTTGTTTGTTTACAAACTGCTGGACAACGAATGTTTTCGCATCGGAGAAAACCAAATTCGGCAGTCGGCAGTTCACCACTTTCGCCCAAGCGAAGCAACTTTGTAGCTCTTTTGAGTCTATTTTCTTTCTGTTGCGGTGTAAATTCTTGAAATTTTGATATTTCAATGGCTTTACCCCGAGCTCATTTTTCAATATTTGCCGAATGGAATGTTGCGATATGTTCAGCTCACGGCGCAGGTTTCTATCAAATAGCTTCTTTACTTTTCGAACCTTTTCTGCTGATGTTGCTGTTTTCTTCGGCTCACTTCCTTGACGTCGGTCTACGCTACCAGTATCACGGTAACGAGCGATGGTACGAGACACAAAAGATTTATTCACATTTAAATGCTGGAGTGCTGGAACGATAGCCACTTGTGGTTTTCCAGCCAAATATAAAGAAATCACACTATCACGTTTGAATTCCATCACGAATAACTTTTTCTGGAAAATTCTCACCAAAATGCTTTAGTACGCTTGTAAACAATATAACGAGTTGTCACTGGAATAATTTGAACAGCTGTCGGACGAGTGGCTTAGAAATGACAGCAGTCTTAAGTTTGTTGAAGTTTTTTCATCTCACCCTGTATAGAAAAATTCGGACTTATGCCACAGGAGGTAGATTCCAATACAAACTCTGGCTGAAGTCGTTAAAATTCCGAATAACAATTATATGGGGCTATATGAAACTTTGACCGATAAACCTCACCTTCAGACAAAAGACAACTCTATGCAAACTTTTAGCTTCCTATCACATGCCGTTTAGACTCTAGCGTGATTACAACAGACGGACGGACAAGGCTAAATTGATTATTATTGGATTATAATTGTGTCTAAAATGAATATTTCGATGATTTACAAATGGAATGACAAACTTAATATACCCTCCATGCTATGTACGTGGAAGGTAAAAAAGGCTGTAATTGTCAATTTGTTGGTATTTGCAGCAATAAAATTTGCCTTATATAAATAAGGAGTTAGATATAGAATAAAGGACATCATAAAACTTTTTTCATAGACTAAACGACCCATCCTAATGTACGCTGTTATTAGTTCATAAATGCCCATCAAACAATTTACTAAAAATCAATTATTAACAACGACGACGAAAAAAACTTCAAATTTAAAAGTTCACTTAAATCGAAATTAAGAATCAATTAGGAGGTGCAACTGTGTCAAAATAAATAAATCTGGGATAAATGGAGAGCTCCTGGGTGCGGTAATGCAGACTGTGACAAATACTCTAATCCTGTCGACTATGAGTAACTATAAAAAGATATTCTCTTGTATCGGAGCAAAAAGGGAGCGTTAATTAAATTGTTTTTTTTTTTCTATGTCAAGAACAATTCTACCAAAGATTCAGAATTTTAGTCATAAACCAGTAAAGGCCCAAAGTCGAGCCGATTTTATGATACCCTACACCAATTCATATGTTAAGTAGAGCTACCCATAACAAAAAACGTTTTCATGGGGAACTTATGGTGGTTTTTTGAATACATATTACGGATTGAAATCAGATATAATTTAAAGCCGAAAGAAACTAATATATGGAACTATATCCTCCTCTTAATCGATTTCCTCTAAATTTGACAGACTGAACCGATATTCATCAAAATCCTACTTATTTGACCTGATAAAACGTGAAATCGGATGAAGATATATATAGGAGCTATATTTTTAAATCTGAACGATCTCTGTAAAATTTAATAGAGGTATTTCTATGCTGTATCTGAAAGCTAGGACGAAATGTCGTTGTTGTGGAGAGGCTGGATTGGCCATCTGAGGAAATCACTCTAGCTTGAGGTAGATTGAAACAAAAATTTACTCAGATGTATTTAAGGTCCGTAAAAAATTTACGGATTTTATCCCACATTTGGGATAAAATTAAACAATGCCGACAGATTTCATTTTTGCTGTAAATGGTATTTGGACTCAATAATGGGTTGTGAATACTATGACAGAAAATTGCCAACACAAGTCCACATTTAGTATAGCTTTCATATAACGGCCATTTATTATGATATTATCCACACTTGATCTAAAACTTGGTATTTGTAGTAAGTAATAGGTACCGCCTTCGTTGGCAGAAAATTGGCTATAGAGTTTCAAGTTTTCACTTAAAAATGTAGAAAAAATATATCATATTTAAGTTTTTTTTAAACGTTAAAAATATCTGTCTAGAAAAAAAATTTCCAATTTCTCAATTCCAATATTCTTGTTTTTTCAGAAAAACATAGATTTACATCCGTCGAAATAATTTAACTCACGGAAAAGCCCATTAATGAAATATGTTACAAGCCAAAGAATAAATCATACTTACTAACAGTTTGCTACCGCCTTCCGAACTTAACAAACTTTTAATCAACACTCATACACATACCCAAATTCTTTACGCCTTTTATAAAACACCCTCAGACGTTTTCAACACAAAATGTCATCCTGATCTTCGACCATCATAGAACACAGCGTTTCATTTCGAAACAAGAACGCACACCAGACACAACGTCGCAGCCACATCTAATAGAATGGAGCCAATTGAGGCACGACGTGATCTTTTCCAATTCGTACGACGCACCATGTATTGGGCCGCAATGTATCCCCTGCATTTGGACCGCCGGCTGCCACACTACATTTGTGGTCTGGGCCTATTTGTCGAATGCTTTTTCGAAATGTTCCTCTACCTGGTGTCCATACAAATTGCCATCCTGTATGTGTGCACAATTTATTTGAATTACGACAGTGGGGATTTGGAGCTGCTGGTCAATTGTATGATACAGACAATCATCTATGTCTGGACAATTGTCATGAAGGTGTACTTTCGCCGGGTGCGGCCCCATCACCTAGAGGGTATGGTGGACACCATCAATGCCGAGTATAGGACACGTTCGGCCATAGGTAAGGCCGGAAACGAGTGCAATGCGTGTGGTTGCTGTTGCTCCACGCGCTGGCTTTTATTCTTGTCACTTTTATTTGCAGGATTTACGTACGTGACCATGGACCAGTGTTTGGACATGTCAAATAGATGGATTAAAACGTATGTGTACTGCTGTTTCATTGGAACGGTCTTCTGGCTGTTGCTGCCCATTGCCTATGGCGATCGTAGTCTGCCATTGGCCTGTTGGTATCCACTGGACTATAAGGTACGCACACACACACTTACATACATACACAGATGTGTGACAACATCTAAGGATATGGCTTGTAGACTTAATGTCCTTAAAAGGAATTTTAATCACTCTAATCCTGAAGACATTAAATGTTCTTGGTTTTCTTTGGCTGCTGCTGCTTCTGCTGCTGTTGTAGGAGCCGGTTATTTACGAGACAATATATTTTCTTCAATCGGTTGGGCAAATACAAGTGGCTGCCGCCTTTTCCGCCTCAAGTGGCTTTCACATGGTATTGGCCATTTTAATATCTGGACAATACGATAGCCTGTTTTGCAGTTTAAAGAATATCCTTGCAACTGTTGCTATACGAATGCATTCGACAAAGGAGGAATTGAGGTAGGTATGGAATTATTGGCTTTGCACAATTTAAAGAAATTTTTTATATTTTTCTTTAATTTTTTTTCTGTACTGGGTTTCTTTCAAGGAAATTGTTTGAAAATTGAAAATCGATTTTTAGTTGATTGGTAATAGGTGAAGGTATTTGATAAAGACAAAAATCGAAATAATAAAAATGTCGACTTTTTCGGTTTCGAATTCGTACCCCCCAAAAAAAGTTTTTTTTAGAGATTCAATAAATATTAGTAAAAGGCAATAAGATTTCTTTCATGAACTTACCTTCTAATGACCTCTAATCCTCTTTTTCACTCTCCTCTAAAAGGAGTCCGTCCGAACTCGAACTAAGTTTGGTAAAAATATTACGAAATCGGAGAGTTATCGTGCGTATCAGTCAGCCAGACAGACAGATGGACGTATGCACAAATCTAGATCGACTGCAAATGAGACCTAGAATCTAAAACCGTTATATAATTATTGTTGGCTCAGTATCGGAGACTGAAGAGTCATGGAGAATTTGCTTACCCGTGAGGCTCTGTCTACCTCCTACCTATCACATGTTTTAGGTCAGATTTCGCCATGGAAGTGAGATAGAGATAGAGATCTTCTTTTCGGAAATCACAGTCAAATTTTCTTGGATGCAGCCCCTTACATTTAGACATTTATTTTGAAATCTGGAAGAAGTGACACAAGGGTGGCTTCACTGTGCTCTCAATCTCTAGAAAAGATGACTCTGATATACGTCTTGCCACTTCGTCAGCTGATTGCCATTGCCAGAGATTTTGCTGTGGCCAAAAGCCTAACAAATCATAATAAAGGCTAAGGGTATATTCTGATGGGCGTCTAAAATTATGCTATCAATTTGCAAAAGATAAAAGTGAAAAGTCACTTTACGTATGAGTCTAACACGGTCTTTATGTGTTTAAAAGTTTGGTCACAGCTTAAGACCAGTCTACACATCGTGTTAATGTCATATGTCGAGTGTGTTGTTTTCACTTTTATAGATTACTTTCTTGTAACACAGTTTTAGGTGCTCCTAATAAATGTATGTTTAAAAAATAACATGTAAATACGGCTAACTTCGGCCGGGCCGAACATTTAATACCTTCTACTATTTTAAAAGAACATGAAAAATTTCCAAAAAATTCCGTCGAAAAATACCGCTCAAAGGAAATCCGTTATATGGGAGCTATATGCTGTTGTACCCATTACGAAATTTAAATACGAAATGTGAAAAATTCTGGTAAAAAAGTCTCTAATATCATCAAACTGGAAAAAAAAATTCCGGTGAATACTGCAACTAATACCGTCAAAATGCCAAATAAAGGGCTGTGCCGTTATGTGTGGGCTATACGAAAACGTAGATCTACACAGACAATTTTCCGTCATAGATTGTAGTACCCATAACGAACTTCAAACACTAAATTTGAAGCAAATCCGGTGCACAATGTTCTTAAAATCATCAAAATGCCGAATATCATGAGGTATGGGGACTATACGAAGATGTGGACATGCACACGCAATTTTTTGTCATAGGCTGTAAATGAAACAATATCGGTAAAAAATAAGTGCCTAAAATCATCCAAATTGCAAATATCGGGGTGTACAGTTGTAGGAGGGGCTGCACGATATTGTGGCCCCATATAGACAGGGGGTAAGGTACTCATAAAGAACTCCTTGTGTAGAATTTCAGAAAATTCGATTGAAAAATGTAGCTAATCATCAAATACCAAATATCGGGAGTACCGTTATATGGGGGCTATTCGAAATCCTATTTTCATTCGTTTTGATTCTAGAGTGATTACAACAGGCGGACAGACGGAGGCACGGACAGGGCTAAATCGCTTAGAATTTTACGCTGATAATGAATATATAGGGTGAGATAAAAAAACTGCAACAAAGTCAAACACCATACTTTTTACATTTTTTTTTTTAATTTTATTGAATGAAAACAAAAAATGTCGGAAATAGCATAAAATTTTAGAATAAATTTAGATTTGTTCGAATTGGTCACCTTTGGCACGAATTATGGCCTTCAAACGGCCAATGAAACGGTCACACGCTGCCCGAATGTTGCTCTGCGGTATTTTGGCCCATTCCCGCGAAGCGCTTGCTTGAGGTGATTGACACTTTGGTATTTTTTAGTGCCAACCTTCCCTTCCAAAATACTCCAGACACAATAGTCCAACGGATTGGCATCTGAAGATTTTGGTGGCCATTGTGCGCTGTAAATGAAGCGAGGAACCTCATTTTGTATCCATTCTTGAATGGCATGTGCTGAATGCGATGGTGCTAAGTCCTGTTGGAATGTCCAAGGTTTCGGCCAAAATGTTTGCGAAATCAAGGTTTTAATACACCCTCCAAAATATTTTCGCGATAATATTCGGCATTTATTCACATGCCACGGTCAATTAATACGAGCGGAGAGCGACCATCGGCTGTTATGGCGGCCCACACCAATACCAGTTCTGGTGGTCAACCGAATGTGCACATTTTCAGCTCTTTGGCAAGTAAACACGATCATTTTGTTTGTTTACAAACTGCTGGATTTTCTCAGTTCACCGACAGTTCACCACTTTCGGCCAAGCGAAGCAACACTTTAGCTCTTTTGAGTCTATTTTCTTTCTGTTGCGATGTAAGTTCTTGCACTTTTTGGAATCTCAATGGAATTTACCCCCAGCTCATTTTTCAATATTTGCCGAATGGAATATTGCGATATGTTCAGCTCACGAGCCATTTTTCGACCACTGCGAAGCGGGTTTCGATCAAGTCGTTTACTTACTTCTCGAACAATTTCTGCTGATGTTTTCTTCCGTCCACTTCCTTGACGTCGGGCTACCCTACCAGTATCCCGGTAACGAGCGGTGGTACGAGACACAATAGATTTATTCAAGATTCAAATATAAAGAAATCACTGAGCTGTCACTGAAATAATTTTAACATCTGTCGGACGAGTGGCTTAGAAGTGACAGCAGTCTGAATTGGTTGCAGTTTTTTCATTTCGCCCTGTATATACTTTACTAGGTCTTAAATTATTTTTTCGGAATGACGAACTCAATATACCTCCATACTATGTATGGCGTTGGGTTAAAAAATAGAAGTGGAAAAATTAACTTTACATTCCGTCCAAACATAACGAGTAATCAGGTCTTTAACGCTAGTCTACACATTTTATTGGAGTCATGTGTAATTTTGCTTTTTCACATTTTTTCAAAGGTTCTTAGCTATTTTTTTAATATATATATATATATATATATATATATATATATATATATATATATATATATATATATATATATATATATATATATAGTTTCTTCTCCTACATCTTAACAATGTCCATTAATAGCTTAACATTTCATTGTGTAGGAAACTTTATGAACTGCAGGAATCTACCGATTCCGAATTGAATGAATTCTATTGTTCCGAAGAGATAACCTGTGACATCAACATGCTCGTTCACATCAACGCATCACCCAAGCAGGCCTTAATGTCATCCCAGGAATTTCGTTATCATTTTCGCCATGCATTTGCCGAATGCGTTCATCATCATTGGTATATTTTGGATTCTTTAAAATCAATGGAGAAATTCTACAGTCCCATTTGGTTTTTCAAAACTGGCGAAGTCATTCTGCTAATGTGTTTGGTGGCATTCGTGTCCGTTAAGGTAAGGAATATTTAAAGGCATATCCGCACACACTCACACTCACATCCATCGACATGAAACGATAATGGTATGGCTTTCCCCTCCTCTCCCACAGTCAACCACAGCTAATTCCTCATTTATGAAAGTCGTATCACTCGGCCAGTATCTGATGTTGGTCGCCTGGGAATTATTGATTATTTGCTATTTTGGCGAAATCATTTTCATCAACAGCCAACGTTGCGGCGATGCTATTTTAAGAAGCCCCTGGTATCTCCAGATGCGTGAAATGAAAAATGATTTCCTTCTGTTCCTGCTCAATTCGTATCGGCCATTTAAGCTGACGGCCGGCAAAATGTATCCACTGAATGTGGAACGTTTTCGTGGGGTGAGTAGTAATCGATGAACTTGATTTAGCCACCTACAGCAGAGCAGAACGGACGAGGCACTCAATATTATTTTCTTTTGTTCTCAAGGTTATAACTACGGCATTTTCATTTTTGACACTTCTACAGAAGATGGATGAACGGGTGTGAGTGAAATAATAGAAAAGGCGAAGTAAAATATTTGCTGAGCTGGCAGAAAATTATTTTTCTTGCGGTTGATAAATAAAGACTAGTTTTGCCAAAATATATCAAGTGTTTTTGTTTTCACGTCTACAAACAATCATAATTAACTTCTTTTTTTTGAGTCATAGGTATTTACTTAAAATTGTTTAAGGGTTTAAATTAAATAATAAAATATGACACTACATTGAAGTAGTTATTCTATCCCAGAAAAAAAACAAACAGTAAGGAAAGGTCAAAAGTCGGACGGGGTCGACTATATAATACCCTACACCACTATGTGTATTCAGTAGAGCTCCCGTAACAAAAAAAAAAACTCTATATTGGGAATTTATGTGAGGTAGATCATACCACCTATGAACCTTATTTGAATGGGTATCATGGCTTCAGAGTAGTCACAATTTATGAACTGAGTCCAACTCTGAATTGATTTTCAACAAATTTGACGGAAGCTTTTGTACCTCCAGTACCAAATAACATTGCTGTATAGTGTGTGATATGACTTCGATAAGAATTATATAAAAAAAATATTTATTTGAGCAATAGATATAGCGGATCGAGTTTCACCAAATGGAACAATTCGGTTAATTTTATGAAAAAATATCCAATTTGGGCTGATATTACTTATATGGTGGACAATAACCGTAAAATCAGATGAAGATGTATATTTAAGGCAAATAAAAATCTGAACCGATCTCGATAAAATTTGTACATATTACGCATGTGAGCGGCTTTAAATTCAAATTAGATGAAACATATATTTGGGTGCTATAGCTATATCTGAACCGATTTTCACCAAAATGTGAAGTACTTGCTTCTGGGCTGAATTCTGTCGGAAGTGTCAAAGTTCAGTCCATTCGGGCTGATATTAGCAATTTGGTGCACAGAAAACCTAAGATCGGTTAAAGATATATATGGGTGCCATATCCAAATCTGAGTCGATCTTGATAACATTTTAGGCACTTATTTCTGAGCTGTATCTGATATCTGTTACCAAAGTTCATTATTGTGGAGTGCATATTACGCATGTAAGGGACTTAAAATCCCAACCATGCATATGAGAGCTATAGCTGTATCTGCACCGATTTTCACCAAATTTGATGCACTTACTATGGGAGCCATAGCTTATCTGAACCGATTTTCACCAAATTTAATGTACTTGCTATAAGACCGAATTCGATCAGATTTTCCAAAATTCAGGTAATTTGGACTGATATTGGCCTTTTGGTGCACAATTAATTCGAAATCAATTAAAAATGTAAAGAGTGAGATAAAAAAAACTACAACAAAGTCAAGCACCATAATTTTTACATTTTTTTTTAATTTATTGAATGAAAGCAAAAAATGTCGGAAATAGCATCAAATTTTAGAATAAATTTAGATTTATTCGAATTGGTCACCTTTAGCACGTATTATGCCCTTCAAACAGCCAATGAAACCGTCACACGCTGCCCGAATGTTGCTCTGCGATATTTTGGCCCATTTCCGGCGAAGCGCTTGCTTGAGGTGATCGACACATTGGTATTTTTTAGTGCCAACCTTGCTTTCCAAAATACTCCAGACACAATAATACAACGGATTGGTATCCGAAGATTTTGGTGGCCATTTTGCGCTGGAAATAAAGCGAGGAACCTCATTTGATAACCATTCTTGGATGGCGCGTGCTGTGTGCGATGGTGCTGAGTCCTGTTAGAATGTCCAAGGTCTGCGGCTAAAATGTTTGCGTGCCCAAGGCTTTAATACACCCTGCAGAATATTTTCGCTATAATATTCGGCATTTATTCCGATGCCACGGTCAATTAATACGAGCGGAGAGCGACCATCGGCTATTATGGCGACCTACACCATCACCATGTCCGGCGCTTGAGTTCCAACCGAAGGTGCACATTTTCAGCTGACCTCTTTAGCAAGTAAACACGATCATTTTGTTTGTTTACAAACTGCTGGACAACGAATGCTTTCTCGTCGGAGAAAACCAAATTCGGCAGTTCACTACTTTCGGCCAAGCGAAGCAACTCTTTAGCTCTTTTGAGTCTAATTTCTTTCTGTTGCGGTGTAAGTTCTTGCACTTTTTGGAATTTCAATGAATTTACCCCGAGCTCATTTTTCAATATTTGCCGAATGGAATATTGCGATATGTTCAGCTCACAAGGCATTTTTCGGCCACTGCGACGCGGGTTTAGATTAAGTCGCTTCTTTACTTTTCGAACCGTTTCTGCTGATGTTACTGTTTTCTTCCACTCTTCACATCCACTTCCTTGACGTCGGGCTACGCTACCAGTATCCCGGTAACGAGCGATGGTACGAAACACAAAAGATTTATTCACATTTAAATGCTGGAGTGCTCTAACGATAGCCATTTGTGGTTTTCCAGCCAAAAATATAAAGAAATCACACTATCACGCTTGAATTCCATCACGAATAACTTTTTTTCTGGAAAGTTCTCACCAAAATGCTTTTGTACGCCTTTAAGCAATATAATGAGCTGTCACTGGAATAATTTTAACAGCTGTCGGACGAGTACTTGTTTCCAGGATATATTCAGTCAGAATTGCTAAGATTCAGTTTATTTAGGCTGATATTAGCCATTTGGTGCATAATAAACATGATATCGGATAAAGATATATATGAGAGCTATGCAAATATGTCAGGCACCTACTTTTGAGCTATATCTGATATCTAAAGATCATCCCATATCGAATGAAACATTTATATGGGATGTACTTTCTTCTAGACCGAATTCGATCAGAATTGCCAAAGACAATTTGGACTGATATTGGCCATTTGGTGCACAATTAACCCGAAATCGGTTGAAGATATATATGGAAGCTATATCTAAATTTGAACCGATTCTTACCAATTTCAATAAGGTTTGTTCTTGGACCAAACAAATATAATCTCAATCGAATATAAGTGCTATCTGCATTTTGTGCATAAGAATACATGGACAGACGTGCATAAATCGACTCAGAAAGTGATTCTATGAAGATCCTCAAAAGTTCTTTCTCCATGTTACAAACAAATGCATAAACACAAAATACCCTTACAACTATGTGGTGTAGGGTATAAAAACTGGGAAGCTGAGTGAGGGTTAAAGGTAATGTCAACAAACTACTTCTGCATTACCAGAATTACTATAATGGATGATAATTTGTTTAAAAAATATAGGGCAGAAGAACTTACTTTCCTTATTATACTCATTAAGTTTTTTAATATACCCATTAAGTTTCCTACTTTCAAATACATGGGATTGAAAAATTTTATCTTGGCATATGGAGATCTTTATTGGAAAACAACGTGGTGATACACGTGTCCATGCAAAATTCAATTTATCAATCATAAATATTGTGTCAGTAATAACCCACAAAATGAGGAAAACATCAATAATTTTAAACCACAAAAACCGTCAATTTGTTAGATTGACTGAAGTTGCAAGTCAACATTCTTTTCGAACAGCAAAATCATGAAATTACTACTTATTTAAGCTAGATTTATAAATTATTATGTTCTTAAGCTAGATGGTATCGCATAAAACTAAAATAAATTTTAATTAAACATTTGTGCAACTTTGTTTTTGGTACTAAAATATCATTTATAGTCATTTTAGACGCCTTTCATATGATTTTAAATGTTTACATGCTACACTGACATCTGCAATAAATACTTATCTTCAATGGCTGCAAAACCAGGCTGGCTGGTTTTTGATGGTTGCAGGTTGCTATTTATTGACGTTGCATATTGATGACCAATATTTCTCTACCCCACAACATACTGTGGTACAGAGTATTATGACTTTGGGATTTCGTTTGTAACATGCAGAAGAAGGTGGGACAGACCCATTTTTATGGTCTTCATAGAATCACATGTTGAGTAAATTTACGGATGTCTGTCAGTCGGACCATAAATTCTTTTGAATTCAAAGTACAGATCGCAATTATTGTCTGATTGAGACAAAACCATGCAAAGCTTAATTGTTGGGACCAAGTACAAACCCTATTGACATTATCCAATATTTAAATCTTTTCCCATTTTAATTTTGATGTACAACAAATATCTGACCAAAAAGAATTTTGGCACATACGACCAAAATTCGGGCTGGAAGTAAGTGTATGTAATAGGGTTAAGTTATAGCTATATATCCCATTATATATTTCATCCGATTTGACACTACTGCCTAGAAAACCTTTGGGAAATTTAGTCGAAATCGATTAGGGCTTCGGTTTAGTATATTTTCCTCTTATTTATCGTAATTGATACAACAATGGCGCTACGATTTTGTACCCTACGACACACTGCCGGATTTCATAAGTATTATACACCAAATGCGAAATATCAATCCTAATCAAATGTATTTTAGCACACACTACTAAGTCTACAAGTATGTCTGGTAATTTTGGTGAATATCGGTCCAAATTTAGACATTGCTGCTATTTAAATTTTCGCCCGATTTCAATTTTATTGCGCACCACATCCGATAGAATTCAGCCCAGAAACATGTATTTCAAATTTGGTGAAAATCGTTTCAGATATAGCTATAGCTCCCATAAATACGTTTCATCCGATTTGGGGTTTAAGCCCCTCCCATTCGTATTATTCACCCCACAACAATAATATTTGAAACCAGATATCAGATATACCGCAGAAATACCTCTGCCAAGTTTAATTGAGGTCGGTTCAGATTTGTATATATCTTCCATATATATATATATATTGACGTTTATTGTGCACCAAAGGTTAACATCAGCCCAAATGGATTGGATTTTTTCACATCGAATTCAGCCTAGAAGCAAATACTTCAAAGTTGGTAAAAATCGGCTATATCTATGCTCTCATATACATTCGATTCGATTTGGTGTTTTAGTTCCTCACCTTCGTAAAGTGCACTCTACAACAATAATATTTGGTATCAGATATAATATATAGCTCAAAAATACCTCTACCAAAATTTACTGATGTAGGTTCAGATTTGGATATATATTTCCCATATTCATTCCATTTGATGGTTATTGTTCACCAAATACGTAATATTCGCCCATTCGACTTTATTTATCTTAGAAGAAAATACGACATTTGTTGACACTCGGTTCCCATATATCTATTGCTTCGATATATATTTATATATGTCTTTGTGCATTTGTTGGTAACAGGGAGAATAAAGCGAGATAGACCCATAGTTACTTTTGAGGATCTTCATAGAATCACTTTCTGAGTCGATTTATGCACGTTAGTCCGTCCGTCCGTCCGTCTGTCCATGTATACTTGTGAACAAAATGCAGTTCGCATTTATTATACGATTGTGATGAAATTTTGAAAACAATAATTGTTTGGCCCAAGGACGAACCCTATTAAAATTGGTGATAATCGGATCAGATTTAGTTATAGCTCCCGATTTCGGGTTAATTGTGCACCGATTTCGGGTTAATTGTGCACCAAATGGCCAATATAAGTCCAATGACCTGAATTTTGGCACATCCGACCGAATTCAGTCTAGAAGAAAGTACATCGAATTTGGAGAAAATCGGTTCGAATACAGCTATAGCTCCCATATACATATTTCATCCGAATTGGCGTTAAAGTCCCTCAAATTCGTAACATCCATTTGACAACAGTGATATTTGGTACCAGATATCTTATAGAGCTCGGAAATACCTTTGCCAAATTTTATCGAAATTGGCTAAGATTCGGATATAGCTCCAAATAATGGCTAATATCAGCCCAAATGGATCGAATTTCGGGACGTACGTTTCCATTTTGTGGAACTCGGCTCCGATATATATTTTTAAATATTATCCTTCTCATGTACTCTATAGCAATTTTATTTGGTATAGAAGATTAAAATGTCTCCGTCAAACTTAGTGAAAATCGATTCAGAATTGGATTGCTTTCCATATATTAGTTCCCTCTGAAACCAAACTATAACTGCTCTAAAGCCAAATGAAAGAAAACAAAAAAACATTTAAAAAAATATATATCTCAAAATGAGTCCGAAACTGAATCCGAATATCGAAAATGAGTGAAATGAAGAGAATTTCCCACCACCAGCAATTACTTTGCACGGTGTTATTCGAATAGAAAATGGTGTTGAAATGAGGCCTTCAGTTTGGAGCATCTAAGAATAACGGTATTGAATAAAACCACAAAATTGTGTCAACAATATAAATTTTAAATAGCGGTTAGAAAATAAACAATCATTTTAAATATTTATAAACTACAAGGAGCCTTCGGCGGTAATGTCATTGTCATGATATTATGACAATATGTCCATTGCAATACGTCCCCAATTGCTTAATAGAATGCATAAGCGGCACCACGTTCGAGACAACATCATCAGAATTGAATCTAGAGATAAGCGACATGATCTTTTTCAATTTATACGCCGAACAATGTACTGGGCGGCCATGTACCCTATGTCTTTGGAACACCTTTTGCCTCAACGCATTCGCTACCTTAGCTCATTTATCGAAGTGTTTTACGAGCTATTCCTCCACCTGGTCTGCATACACATTGTCATTCTGTATTTGTGTACATTTTATTTGAACAACAATAGTGGAGATTTGGAATTACTGGTCAACTGTATGATGCAGACAATCATTTACGTATGGGTAATTGGTATGAAGTTGTATTTCCGTCGTATGAATCCACGGCCGTTGGAAGAGCTGATGAAAACTATGAATTTGCAATATAGGACTCATTCGATTAAAGGTTAGTTTGAAGAGGTAGCTGATGTATTTTTGTTCTTATTTGGTTCGATGGTCATTTGCAGGATTTACATATGTAACAATGGAGGAGTGTCTCATCATGGCTAATAAGTGGATAAAGACGTATGTGTACAGCTGCTTTGCTGGAGCTGTATTTTGGCTAATTATACCAATCACCTATGATGATCGTAGTCTACCTTTGTCCTGTTGGTATCCTGTGGATTATAAGGTATGATACACGTGTATATGTCACACATATGCATATGTGTTACATCACACTTTATTCTGATTGACTGAACGTGTTTGGGCGAGGCTATAATCTCGAAATTTTTCAGAAGGGTCGTTATTGGAGCTTAGGTGTGAAATAGGATATCGTTTATGGAAGTTCGTCCTAGATCTTTGTTAACTATGAATTGATGAGCATACTTTTAGGCGTGTAAAAGGCTCGAATATTTAATCAGCAACTAACAATGATTTACTTACATATTTTGAGCTTAAAGCAGAATTTGATTTTGATTTTGAGGCTCATCGACGGGGAATTTAGTATGGGGTTTGTATTTAGAACAGGACAGAATTAAACAGAATGCATGACCATCGTATTTTTTTAGTAAGTGAATCTATCTTTTGTTTGTAAAATTGCTTCGAAATCGGAAAAACGTGAATAGAACCCTTTTCAAATATTGTTTTGAAGGCTCACTAGCGAGACCAGTTCGAAGATATAGGGCAATTACCACGAAACTATCAAATTCGACTAGTTGATTGAATCAACTGGAATGTGATTGAATTTAGTAAATATATATATTAATACCCGATTACACATTATGCCCAAGCTATAATTACAATGATAATTTCGTATTTAATATTATACATTTTTATAGCATACTTTTAGGAGCTCCAAACAATTTTAAAGTAAAAAACACTATAGTATTTAAACTATAGACTATGCAACACTATAAAAACACTTGTATTTTACTTTTTGTTTTTAGTAAGCGTACGTTATGAAAACAGACACATTTACACATGACTAACATCATGTGAAATCGGTCTTTAATGAGAACATTACACCAACGAACTATAAGTTTATCGTCATAAACCACTAAAATATATCCAATTCCCATCATATACCAGTCTTTTTTATACCCTCCACCATAGTATGGAGGGTATATTAAGTTTGTCATTCCGTTTGTAACACCTCGAAATATAGATTTCAGACCCACAAAGTATATGTATTCATTATCAGCATACAATTCTATATCGACTTAGTGATGCCCGCCCGTCTATCCGTCTGTGGAAATCACTCTAGCTCCCAACGAAATGAAGTAGGTTTATAAAACTATATTCAAATGTGTATAATGTCTGCAGGACTTTTCGTATTGAGAATGGGTCATATAGGTCCACATTTTCATATAGTCCCCATATAATGGTACCTCCCTTTTTCAGCATCTTGGTGATTAAAGCGACATTATTCACCGGAAATGTTTCAAATTTGGTATTTGGAGTTCGTAATGGATAGTACAGCCTAAGACGGAAAATTGGCTGTGTAACGGTACCTCCCGATATTCGGTATTTTGATGATATTAGCTACATTATTTACTGATAATTTTTTTTTAGTTTCGCATTTGATATTCAAAAGTTATGATATGACAAAAGTTACCTATGCAGGCCCATGTCGTCGTATAGACCCTAATATAACAGCTACATTCGGTATTTTTAAAATTTTAACAGAATTTTTAACGAGGTGTATTATTTTTGAGAATTGCCAAATTAGTTCCATATGGTGGAGGGTATTCAACATGTTTTAGAAGAAAATGAATCTAGTTCTCGGAAAACTATGAGTTTCAGTTATATGAGGATTGTTTAACTGGAGGAAAGAAACAAGTAAAAAAGCAACTAAGTTCGGCCGGGTTAAACTTTTAATACCAACCACCTTTTCTAAGAAAAAATATCCAAAAATTTTCCTCGAAAAATGCCGTTCAAAGGTAGTACCTATTAAGAAATTTGAGACAATTCCGGTAAAAAAAAAATTGTCGCTAATATTATCAAAATACCGAATGAATGGAGGTGCCATTCTAAGTGGGCTATACTGTATTATGACGTCGGCCTACAAAAAAAATTTTCCGTCATAGGTGGTAGTACTCATTACGAACTTCAAATGCGAAATTTTAAACAATTTCAGTGAATAATGTCTCTTAAGTCATAAAAATACCAAATATTTGGAGGCATCGTTACATGGGGTCTATACGAAGACGCAATTTTTGTCATAGGCTGTAGTAGCCATTACGAACTTTAAATACGAAATTTTAAACAATTCTGGTCTAAAATGTCGAAAAAGTCATCAAAATACCGAATGTCGGGAGGTACCGTTATATGGGTGATATAAGATATCGTGTACCGATATAGCCCATTTTCGAACTTGAGCTGCCTGCAGACAAAAGACTAATCGGTGCAAAATTTTGGCTTCCTATCTTAAATTGTTTTGACTCAAGATTACAACAGTCCGATATACTTTGTTAAGTCTAAAATTATTATTTCGATGAGCTACAAACTGAATGACGAACTTAATATACCATACATACTATGTATGGTGGAGGGTATAAAAATGTACGGCTTAAAAAATGGAAAATTTCAAATTTTTTACATCCCCAGGGACGTAAATTCAAAAGTAAGCCTTGATCTTTGGAATACTTTTTAAGTTTTCCAATTCATTTTATTCAATTAAAAATGGTTTTGTATGTACAGAAATTTTGACGCAAATTACTGTGGTACGGATTTTCACATGGTCGGCCCTACTGTTTACAGTCTTTGCTCATTCTATTCTTTTTGTTTTCATTACAGAAGCCTATCATTTACGAGATAATATATTTCCTTCAAGCTGTTGCGCAAATTCAAGTTGCAGCCGCATTTTCCGCCTCCAGTGGTCTTCACATGACACTGTCCATCTTATTATCTGGACAATATGATGTCCTCTTTTGTAGCTTGAAAAATATTCTTGCAAATGTTGCCCTTCGAATGCAATCGACGGAACAACAATTGAGGTATGTATGTAAATAGTTTTTATGTTCTGGTTACACCGTGTCTAGCAAGGATTTGGAAGAAATGGGACGATAAAATCCATTTTCAAACTTCTCCTATGTGTGGTAAAAAGAGTGCATTATTCAAGCACCAAATGTAAAATTGTTACTACAATAACTGACTTTTCCCTTATGGTGTCAAAAAATTTGCAAATCTATTAGATTCTTGTAGGTTCTGGAACAGAGCAAGTATTCACAAATAGTATGGCATGTTTACGCAAAGGTGAGAATATATAAAACGCTTTTCAGAGTGCCTTAAATCATCGACGGGCTTCTTTGTGAAAGAACAAAGGAATGTAGGCCCAAAATCGAACTAAGTCAACCTAAAAGTATTCCCCTACGAAGAAACCAGCCTATGACTTAAGTCAGTCAAAAAGGCGTTTTATGTATTTTCACCTTTAAAACTTTTTCCGGGTTAACCTTTTTTATGAAGATTTATTCGAGGTATATGCAGTGAAAATGACAATTTCAACGTAAACGTACTATTAGGTGTATTCTATACAATTCCTAGTAAAAATTACTCAGTCGCTTGTATCGAGATATTTTTTTCTCGTACAAATATAGATCTCTTTACCCGCTCCCATTTACTGGACTTGTGGGTTATCGAACATTTCGTAATATTTAAAACAAAATATTGGGTTATAGTACACAACCAATACACTATGCGACAAAATTCAATTTTTCAACAATTACGGAGATAATTCAGCAGCTAAAAAATTACATTGAAAAGTAACCACACTTTTGGCCATATTTGGATTAAGATTTCTGGGATTCCGGGCATTTTGGTTGTATTGTTATTCGGATATATTGTGCATTGCATCGATTGGAATATTGGCTATAACTAAAATCATGGCGTATCATTTTATAACTGCTAAACCAATAAGTGAACCTATATGGATAATTTTTGTAAATAGAGTTTCTACATAATAAACACTAAAAATGCCAACATTTGGGAAAAATTAAATGGAAAACATGGTCAAACTTAAAAAAATACTTGAAATCGGGACTTAGAATTGGACTATTCCAAAACGTGAATAGATATGACAAATTTTTTGTACCAATTATTTTGGATATTATTCAAAGATCTCTATTAAATTTAAAAATTTGACAACATTTAATTGTACACCAAATTCCGTCACACCTTGCATATTTAGTTGAACTTGAAGGTACCGTGTTTGGTGCATAAAATATGTAAATTGGCCAAGAATATATACTGGAGCTATATCCAAATCTTAACAAATTTCTTATTAATTTGTCAAATTTATTATTGTAACCAAATTACGCCACACATTCTGAATTTCATATGTCCGAACATATCGTGTTTGGTACAGAACATACATGAATTCGGCCCAAAAAAAAAAAAAAAAAAAAAAAAAAAAATATATATATATATATATATATATATATATATATATATATATATATATATATATATATATATATACATATATATATATATATAGGAGCTATACCCAAACCTAAACCGATCTCAATATAATTTGGCAAATTGTTTTTGGTACCAAATTCCGTGCCTCTTTATGAATTTCATTGGAATCAGACAACCATATCGACTGGCGTGCATCAAATATGTTAAATCGACCGAAAATATATATGGGAGCTACATCTAAATCTGAACCGATTTCAATGTAATTTGACAACTTTATTTTCTGATCAAATTCGGTCACACATTCCAAATTTCATTGGAATCGAACATACATATCGTGCTTGGTGCATTAAACAAACGAAATCGGTCGAAAATATATATGGGAGCTATATCCAAATCTGAACCGATTTCAATATAATTTTGCAAAATTATTTTTGTACCAAATTTAGTCACTCATGCCAAATTTCATTGAAATCGGACTTACGTATCGTGTTTGGTGCATCAAATAAACGAAATCGGATCGTGTTTACTTGCCAAAGAGATCAGCTGAAAATGTGCACCAGAACTCAAGCGTGGACCGCCATAACAGCCGATGGTCGCTCGTATTAATCGACCATGGCATCAAAATAAATACCGAATATTATCGCAAAAGTATTTTGGAAAGTGTATTAAAGCCGTGGGCACGCAAACATTTCGGCCACAGACCTTGGACATTTCAACAGGACCGTCGCCGCCCAAGAATGATTACAAAATGATGTACCTCGCTTCATTTCCAGGGCACAATGGCCACCAACATCTTCAGGTACCAATCCGTTGGACTATTGTGTCTGGAGTATTTTGGAAAGCAAGATTGGCACTAAAAATACCAAAGTGTCGATCACCTCAAGCAAGCACTTCGCCGGAAATGGGCCAAAATACCGCAAAGCAACATTCGGGCTACGTGTGACGGTTTCATTGGCCGTTTGAATGCCATAATTCGTGCAAATCTAAACTTATTCCAAAATTTGATGCTATTTCCGACATTTTTTTCTTTCATTTCAATAAAATTTAAAAAAAAAATGGAAAAATTATGGCATTTGACTTTGTTGCGATTTTTTTTATCTCACCCTGTATATAGATTCCTGACATTTAGGCAATCTTTAGACTCTTAACGTTTTTTAGTAGAATTTTATGACAAACAATTTCGTAGAATATATTGACTTGCTACGATACGGTTAATGGGAATTTTTAAACATAATTCGAAAAAGGACCAAAAAGATGCCTTTGTGGATCGACTAAAATATTTCTTTTTTCTTCCCCCTTTATTTTGGTTACTTTTCAATGAAAACTTTCAAAACGTAATATACGTGTCTTTCATGCTCCGCTGGATTTTCCGCGTAATTGTATTTTGTATTGCACAGTGTTATCAATCACTTTTTACAAAAAAGCTTTAGAATAAATCTTAAAGTAATTTGTTTTTTTTTTAATCTTCGACTTAAAACTACAATCAAAGACTTTAAATTAATACAAATAATTTTTCATAATTGAATTTATTTTATCCTTGAGGATAAGTCAAGTAAGTCAATTTACACTTTAAAAACTCATTACCTCCTTTAATTGTTCCTTTGAGGATATCCTTCGCTGGATTTATAAAAAAGCGTATTGTTTTATTTATTTCCTTATTTTAATTTGTCTTTTCAGAAAACTTTACAAGCTTCATGAAATTACATCGCACGACACAAACGAGTTCTATTGTAGCAAAGAGAAAACTTTGGACGTGGAGAGACTATTTGACGCGCAACAACTTTTTGTAGAAACTTCACAGGATTTTCGACATAATTTTCGTAACGTTTTCAAGGAATGCATCGTACATCACTGGTTCATTTTAGACTGTTTGAAAAGTATGGAAAGATTTTACAATCCCATTTGGTTTCTGAAAACCGGCCAAGCCATTCTGCTGCTGTGTTTGGTAGCATTTGTCTCTGTAAAGGTAAGTAAAATAATAGAGAAAATAAAAATATGCTGCTTTTGTCTTCCTTTCTTCTTCTCTCCCATAGTCAACAACAACAAATTCTTCGTTTTTGAAAAATCTATCTCTGGGTCAATATCTTTTCTTGGTTGCTTGGGAATTTTTGGTGATCTGCTATTTTGGCGAAATGATTTTTTACAACAGCCAACGTTGTGGTGAGGCTATTCTGAAAAGTCCCTGGTATTTATGTGTGCGTGAAATCAAAAACGATCTTCTCCTCTTTCTGCTGAGATCGTACAGACCATTCAAGTTAACAGCCGGTAGAATGTTTGCCTTAAATATCGATTGGTATCGTTGGGTAAGTTCCCCGAGTAAAATGTGAACATGCCAAGTAATTGAGATCTAAATTTCTTCCTCAAGGTTATTACAACAGCATTTTCATTTTTAACTCTACTACAAAATATGGACCAAAGGGATGTGAATGTGTCAACCTAGAAGCAATCTGGTGTATGTCTTTGTATTGAGTAAAAATAAATAAAGAGTCGTTTTTAAAAATATATTCAATATTTTATTATTAATTGATACATATTTACCCAGATAAAGGCCCGATTGCACATTAAGTTAGAGTCATATGTAAAGTAACTTTTTCCACATTTATCTTTAAAAATGTTATAGCACAATTTTAGATTCCCCCAGAATTTTTAAATCTTATTATGAAACCGTCACTTTATATATGATTTTAAAGTAATATGTACACATGATGTTAGAGTCATATGTTAAAAAAATATACAATTTTCTGCATTTTTCAGCACATTATTATAAAAAAATCGTTTTACATATGTCTCTAACATAATGTATAATTTTTCTACTTTTTATAGCATATTTTTAGGGGCTCCCCAATGTTTTAATAAAAGCCAGTGAAGAAAGTCTTAAAGTCGGGCAGGGCCGACTTTATGATACCCTACACCACTTTGCTAATTTAATAGAGCTCCGCATAACAATGACATACTAGCTTCTAGACTCAATTCGGTCGTAAGTGCCAAATTCCATCCCATTTGGACAAATATTAGACGTTTGGTGCACAATAAAACGTAAATCGGTCGAAGTTTTATGTGGGAGCTATATCCAAATCTGAACCGATTTCGATCAAATTTGGCATACTTATTTTCAGGCCTAATTTGGTTGTATGTGCAAAAATTCATACTATTCGGGCTGATATTACACGTTTGGTGCACAATAAAAAGCAAATCCGTCGAAGTTATATGTGGGAGCTATATCTAAATTTTGACCAATTATCTGCAATTTCAATAGGGTCCGTCCTTGGGCCAAAAAAATGATTTGTGCAAAATTTCATCTGGATAGGGCAATAAATGCGAACTGTACTTTTTTTTTACAAAAATACATGGACAGACGGACGGACGGACGGACATGCATAAATCGACTCAGAATGTGAAATACATTTGCTAAATTTTATCGAGATCGGTTCAGATTTGGATATAGCCCCCATATATAACTTCGTCCGATTTACCTTGGATTGCCCCAAACGTCTAATATTTGCCCAAATTGGATGAAATTTGGCACTTACGATCGAATTGAGTCTAGAAGCTAGTATGTCAAATTTGGTGATCAGATCGGTTCAGATATAGCTATAGCTCCCATATATATTGTTCATCCCATTTGTTGTATTTGTTACCCACTGCCGAAATATGCACTCCGTAACAACGATATTCAGGGAAATATATCAAATACAGCTCAGAAATATCTCTGCCAAATGTTATCAAGATCGGTTCAGATTTGGATATAGCCCCCATATATACCTTTATCTGATTTCAAATTAAATTTCCACCAAATGGGCAATATAAGTCCGAATTTAAAATATACAAATGCTTCGGCATATTTAGTCCTTTGAACTTTAAATTATATTTATATTCATAGTCGGCCCCGCCCGACTTTAAGACTTTCTTTACTGGTTTCTTTCTGTTGCGGTGTTAGTTCTTGTACATTTTGGAATTTCAATGGTTTTACCCCGATCTCATTTTTCAACACTTGCCGAATGGAATATTGCGATATGTTCAGCTAACGAGGCATTTTTCAGCCCCTACGAAGCGGGTTTCGATCGAGTCGATTCTTTACTTTTCGAACAATTTCTTCTGATTTTCCAATGTTCTTCCGTCCACTTCCTTGACATCGGGCTACACGCCCAGTATCACGGTAACAAGTAATGGTACGAGACACAAAAGATTTATTTATATTTAAATGGTGGAGTGCTCTAACGATAGCCACTTGTGGTTTTCCAGCCAAATATAAAGAAATCACGCTTGAATTCCGTCACTAATTACTTTGTTTTTGTACGCTTGTAAACAATATAACGAATGGCTTAGAAATGACAGCAATCTGAAGTTGGTTGCAGTTTTTTCATCTCACCCTGTATATATATCGTTATACTTGTATCAAATAAGGTCATGTGGGAAAATAATACGTCCCTCATATGTTATAAATCTTGTTCAATGGAACCAAAATCTCATATTTTTGAGCTTCGTAATATTTTGACAAATATTGAGGTGGTGCTAAGATAAAATATCTGGATTACTTCTCTTTCGGATTCCAAAATCCCATTGTGAGTAATTCACTCTTTTTTTAATAGTTCAAAGCATTTTTAATTCTACTGAACACATTCAACACATTTAAGTGCAATTTATGTATTTTTCAAAATATTATTTAAAGTACAAAAACATTAATTAGGTAAAATAAAACCAGTTATATTGAACCACATTTCTGATATTTCAAAAGTCAGTTACCTTCCTGGATGACGTTGTTTTTTTTTATTAAAATGCGTTTATTGCTACTCATAACATTTTCGACTACTCACTTTAGCTTTGGTGGTAGCTTCCCATCTCAAAAATTTATTTCAAAATGAAAAATAAAATTACGTCAATTGGAGTTTCCAGACCCAATCAAGAGTAGCTGCAAAATCGACGTTAACATACATATGATGCCAAAAAGAGACTAGTTAGCAAAGAATTAACCGACCCTGTGATTTCCTGCATTCCTTTACTTTAAGGCAACGTTATAGAATGAACAAAAGATAACCGGATAAATAATTCTCATATACAAATTATTAAAGTGAATTCTTTAATTTTGTATTGTTTCCAATTTAAAGATCGACTGTGATTACTATTAGGTTCTTCCCTCCCAGAAAAAAGTGTCTCTTACAAAATTTTAAAAGTAGTGACATAACTGGTTTAATAAATATTTCTTGCATATGTACGTGCTTGATCAATTAGAATCTTATAGTAATGTTAAATTAGCTATATAAAACTTCGTGAGAATCCATATTATCTATATCTCCATTGCCTGGCGATATACATCAATGAAATATATTTGGATGTATAGGTCGGTATTTCTAAGAAAGACCTTAGGAAGACTGCTGGAACTATAAATTCGTTTAAATTTAAATGTAAAAATAATTAGTACATCGAACAAGCCTATGCAAATGGTTGGCCAGTTGGAAAAAATGAAAATTCCAACTTTACGTTGGGGCTTTTAACAAGTTGAGACAGCATTTCACGAAGTTGTCGGATTCATTGGAAAAAATGAAAATTCCAACTTTACGTTGGGGCTTTTAACAACGTGAAGGTGGAGTCGATCAATAATGATCTCTATGCCTTCTTACTAATTAAATGGATTGATAGAATGCTAAGAACCAGGGCGATCAATTCGAGCTTGGAAGATAGTTGCATTAGGAAAACTGTCAACCCAGCCTAGGTTTTGACCAACTTCGAATAAAGCCAGTCGCATATGCCGATGACGTACTGGTGCTGAAAAGTGTAACATTTCTTCCAACTAATTCTGACCTAATGCAAATTGCACTAGAATAATCTGGTTGACCTCTGCAAAGAATGAACTTGTACTACACAAGGAAACGCAAAACAAAACAATTTTCGCTGCCAGTATTATATGGAGTTACATTCAATCTCTATCCGTGCCCCAAACAGCTCGGTACGATCTTGGCTCTTACTCTTAAATTAATTGCTCTCTATTCATACGAGAACGCAATAGAGAAGGCATGTGTGTCCCAAGGCACTCACGCACAAATTAACCACAGAGCTCCCAAGAGCACTCCCCAATCTTAGGAATATCTTAGGTGAAGGTAATAGGATCAGTGATTCCACGTCCACCATTTTCGACTTTAATTACATTGGTGTAACTATACCTAATGGGGATGCCTGGGCTGGTGGCGAAGATCCTCTGGACGGTCTGACTATATATACAGACGGCTTTAAGATGGGTAAAGGTTATTCACTGATATAAGCTCAATGATAATTACTGCCTTTTTCATGTGGCAGCCATTTCGACAGCCTCCTTGATTGCAAGAACCACTGACTATATATATGGATAGTCAACAGGACCTACTTAGGTCGATAGTCAAGCGGCCCTCGAACTTATCAAGTTAAGTGCCATTCAATCGATTGTCATTCTTCACTGCAAGAAATCCCTCTTTGGAATACGTGAACTCAATCAGCTTTTTTGGGTTGTAGCAATATAGTAGGGAAAAAAGTGATGAATTACCTCTAGGCTGATCACAGCCGACTGATCCACCGGTTGGTGAGAATGTTAAACCACCAAATAAGCTATTCATAAAATTGCTCATTGAAGAATCTGAAGGAAAATGGCACTTGGAAACCGTTTGCAGGGTATCTAAGGTCACCTGGCCAGTAATACTTCTATACTTCTTCTTATAATACCTTTCTTCACTTTCTCGCTTCTATAGCTCTCCTATCCGAACAACTTCATTCTATGGACCAAAGGTTTCCGAGTGACGCAGTTGCCGAATTCCATGTAGCTGCATTCTTTAACCAAGCAAAGGTCTACATCAATGTAAAGGTTCTAACGGAACATCTCTGGTGTGATTTCAAAAAAGATTATTTAATGTTCCTTTGCTATTTAAATATTCCTACCTTATCCCGTTGATGCATCGCCCATTCTAGGCGTAATCTCATTTAGTGGCACGGCTCCCTTTAATTGCAGATAGTATTAAATCATTAAACCAGTAAGGAAAAGTCAAAACTCGGGCAGGGCCGACTATATGCTACCCTACACCACTATGTATATTTAGTAGAGCTCCCGCAGCAAAAGGATTTATTTCAGGTAGATCATACCACTTATCAACATTTGGCTTTTGAGCAGTTATAGTTTGCTATAGAGATCATGCACTCTTGGGGAAGGATTATATTAAAAAATAAATATCGAAGCCACGTTGCACATAATAGAAACATACGTCCCGAAATGTATTCCATTATTTGCACAATAATCCTGAAATCGGATTAAGAATATATATGGGAGCCATATAACATCTTAACCGTTCTCGATAAAATTTGGCAAAGGTATTTCCGAGCTTTATAAAATATCTGGTACCAAATATAATTGTTGTCGAATGTATATTACGATTTTGACTTAAAAACCAAATCGCATGAAAACATGGGAGCCATATCTTAACCAAATTTCTCCATATTTGATGTACTTGCTTCTCTACTGAATTCGGTCGGATGTAGAAAAAATCAGGACTCTTTGAGAGATATTGACCATTTGGTGCACAATTAACCCGAAATCGGTTGAAGATATATATCGGACCTATATCCAAAACTGAACCGATCTTGATAAAATTTGGCAGAGGTATTTTTGAGCTCTATAATATATCTGGTACCAAATATCATTGTTGTCGAATGCATATTACGCTTGTGAGGAACTTAAACAAATATTCAGATGAAGCATATATATGGGAGCTATAGCTATATCTAAGCCGATTTTCTCCAAGATTTACTTGCTTCTAGACTGAAATCGGTGGGATGTGCCAAAATACAGGTCATTTGGACTTTTATTAACCATTTGGTGCACAATTGTTCACAAGAATACACGGACGGTCATGCATTAATCGACTCTGAGAGTAATTCTATGAGGACCCTCAAAAATGACTATGGGTCTATCTCGCTTCCTTCTCCATGTTAGAAACAAAAGTACAAATAAATATACCATTATGTGGTGTAGGGTATAAATACACGGACCCCATGTTTTCTCAGAAGATGACTTAAAGTACTTATTTGAAAGTTGGCGGTCCTGTTTTAAAGTTTAAATTTGGAATATATGTAATTTAAGAGCATAGACGCAATTTAAGGAATAGAAATAAATTTGAATAATCACTTTCGATATTCACACAAGCAGTCCAAGAATGTAGTTTTTATCAAAATTTTCATTTTCATCAATGTAAAATGCTCATACACAAATTCACTTCGATCGAAATGTTTGACACCGAATGCGAGAATTTCGGTTCAGACTTTCAGAAATTAAATGTAATTAATTTAATTTCAATTTTAATGTAATATTCTGTTTTGCATTCTCATTTGTTGAAATACGCCGCAAAGAGACTTTCTGCCTACCTACCTATCTACCATTTTGAATGTTTGTTATGTTTTTACTCATCAATAATTTAAGTATTTTTTTTGTTAAATAATTATTTCAGAGGTTGTTTATTTACTTTAAATGTAGTATAAATTAATTGCTTTGTTGTTGTTGTTGTTTTATCGTTTTTTATTCGGTTGTTTTCTGATTATTATTTTTGCTGTTGTTGTTGTTTAATATGGCTGTGTACATGTTTGTTACGCAATAAAGTATATAATTTCTTTCCTTCTTAAATTTCTTTAAATTTTAAATAAAAAAGAGTATGGATAGATTTTGTTAAATGTTATGATTATAAATAAAAATTTCAAATAATAATATGTTACCCACTTAAAAATAGTTAATATTTGTGTTGTTGTGGTTGTTGCTTTGTATTTTCTAATTATTATTTTATTATTATTTTGTAAGATTATTATTATTATTTAATTTTACTCGAGCTAATAAACCAAGTAAGTAGAGAATACAACTAGATTTAAAAAAAGAAAATGTTATAAATATAAATAAAAAAATTGCTATACAAAAGACAATTTAAAAAAATAATCCATTTTTCTTTTCAATTTGGTTTTGTACTCATCGCCTGTTGTTTCTCAAACATCTCGCAAACAGAACAACAGAGCAAAACCCCTTACTTTAAAACGATGCATGGGAAGTTACGGATTAGGATTGCGGGGTAGACGGGGGGATAGAGCAAGAGATGGAAGGGAAAGAACATAAAAAAAATTATTAAATATTTCTTAAAATTTATCATTTGATTTGTGTTTGTGTTTTCTTCTTTTGCTTGTTTCCTTCGTTCATAGTTTAACAACAAATTGCAACAAAATGCATTACGATTAACAATAGTATCAATAAAACTATTAATGATATCTTCACAAATGTACAACAACTACTATCCAGAGAGGGCAATTTCCTATTAGTCTTCTGTCCAACAACAAATGCAATGTCACTATCAATTTTTGTTGTTCGCAATAGAAACGATGTCGATGTTGTTGTTATCGCTGTGACTTGAGCCGGGACAGCGGGCTGTGGCATTACAACGCAATAGCCCAGTTTTTGATAATGCTGATGACGCTGATGTTGACGCTGTTGCAGATGCTGATGAGGCTGGCGATAAGGATGATTGCTGGCTGGCGACAAATGATGATATACTTTATTGCAATTTGTTGCCACCGATAGTAAAGTTGTTAACTTTGCGTTGTTCACTTTGTGCTGAATGGTGATGAATGTTGGCTAGCTTGCAGTGGCGATACTCGTACTATTGTCATGGTTATAGTGTTCTGTATTTACAATGACTTGTACCACATAGCCGTTTTGTATGTTGCACTCTTCGATCGGCACTTTATCGCCCAATAGTTTGCCACTGTAGAACCAGCGTTGACAGCAAGCGTCTACACCTTCAACAGCCTGAGAAAACATATATTTTTTTTAGTTAAAATTCAATTCTGCGAGTTGGGAAAAGTCACTTACCTGTAGTTTCTTTTTACATTGGCCCACTGTGTCTTTGGAGTATACAGGTAATTTAACATCTGACATTGTTGATGATATTCTCAGTTTGAGGAAAACCTCTGTACCACCATCGACGGGTTCTGAAAATTCGGCAGGTGAATCACGACCATTTTCCTCCTTAACTATATTTATAGGATATGATAGACAATAAATGGGTACTTTGTACTGTGTACCCAACTCATCATAGCATTCTGTTAGGTATCTAAAAGACAAAAATAGGAAAATATTAATACATTTTATTGAAGGAGAATTCACATTTCTCTAATTGAGACAACACCAAAATATATTCAAAAGTTACAAATTGCGACAACAAAATGTAATGCTGACATTTCTTGGAACAAGAGATAATGCAGTTTCATTGGCCAAAAATGACATTTGAGCCGTTGTATATGGGGCAGAAGGCTTTTTAACTCGACATTTTCTCACACAACCCCTTTAAGGTTTGTCGAGTTTTATATATGGACATAGTTTTATTTTTCAAATAATAATTTACACATTTTTCAAAGAATACAAAATTGTCCCCAAATCTACCATTAGAAATACCGTAATATAAGTAAAGCGGCCATATGAGCATCAATTGCGTAAATAATTATTGCGATTTCGTCCGTTGAGAGACAAAAATACAGAATTGCAGTAGAATATGGGTAAAATTGTTTTAAGGTCTAGATTTTCCCTATTCGAGTTATGCTTGGACAATTTTTTAACGTAGTTTTGGTTCTATTTTCAATTAGTGTTTACAATAAAATAGATGTACAAAGAAAGTATAATATTTTTTAAAACCCAATCTACACGCGAAATTGTTGCAGCAGAAACTTCAATAGTTTTTACATCTTGAAGAAACGAGCAAGTACACTGAATGTAAAGAAAGACAATGGAATATTCAAGCAGTAAATCGTCGAATGTTTCTTTGTGCCACCTTCGAACTCATGTTTAACAGCACTAGAAAAGCCGCAATGCAAATATCCAAGATAAAAATCGATCACTAAATGCAAGAAATTCACTGCCATTGATTGGCAGTCCTTTAGATACCATTACCTATGAATACCTCAGTTTACTTTATTGATTTTTTGTCATGTCATTCAGGGACGCAGTTTTTTTACCAATGTCGAGAAACACATTGAAACAATCTAATTAATTTCTACTTTTCTGATATTCCACGTGTTATAAAAACATATTCGTAACAGCTATACATAATTTCTGCTAATCCGGTTCTACCTTCGCGAATTTGTCTAGGGTTGCCTGATTTATCTAGGCAGCCGACAATCTTCAGCTGCAATGGGGGTGGTCTCCGAGAACGGCATTCAACTGTAATTGTTGATCGCATCTGTGACTGCATCAGTATGAATGCCACTCAGACCTGCCTAATAGGCTTTTGATCTAGTTCTCTATTATATCGTTGGGGTCTGTTGTTGTCGATGAAGTTTGAAATATCTGTTGTGAGATTGTATAAATAATGTATAGGTCCTCTAGTCTCTTGCCCGCAACACACGTCAAGCTGGTAAGGAAACATTGTTGGTCTCTTATAACGCGTAAGACAGTGTTGTTGTTGATGGATACAACCAGTACGGATTGGGTCCACAACGAGACTGGAGTTAGGTGAATAGGTTTGGCTGGACAGCGTAATAAGTGCAGCGTGTCATGTGGATCTGCATCCGGCTGTCCATCCGGCCCAATAGGAACTGAGCCAAAACTACTCGGGCTTGTCGGGGCAGCTCTCACTCTTAAGCTGCGATGGGAGGGGGTAGTCTCCTAGTACAGTATGCACTCTATATCCTTCCATGACTTCTGAGACCTCGTTAGACTGAATAATATTCAGCCCCGCTTGATAGGTATGTTGATCTAGAGGCTTTCTCTTATATCTACGTACTCTCTATCTCTATCTTATACCTATGCAAAATACATGTTCGAAAGACAGTGTGCCATATAACACCGATAGGACAAACATTCAAATGCGAAATACTCTGATAACGGCAATAGCGTTCCGACTTCTATAGATTTCATACACGAAGAGTTGAAGGTCTTATCCGTATGCCATCATAACAAGATGTTAGATATGCAATATCTACTTGGGTATTATGGACACATCCATTTCATTATTCATTAGATCGAAAACGACTCTAATGACCTTGTGACAGAAGAACACGATACAAACGTGAGCTTCTAGATCAAGAAAGAATAGATAGTACACGTTGTTGAAATAGTTTCTGATACGGATACGTTCCGAAAATTACAAAAAGAACAAATGTTTTAATTTTTGTTTCCCATTGCTCTGAACAACTATCAAATAAGACTACAGAGGTAATGCCTCTACAATCCAGAATAATCATGACAATTGAAATCAGGATGGTGCAGATGCCTTTAAAACTGTCCTGTCAACCTTTACAGTTGTTAGAAGTAGTGCTTAATTAATCCGAAAAAAACAGCAACATGAGGTCCTACTACTGGAACGCCATAGCTTTCCATATAACCAAAAACGTTTAATTGTTTTTCTAGAAACTATCCGGAAACGTAAACACAAATCTATGAGAAACATTTGCAATAAATATGCAGAAAAGTGAAGAGGAGGTAACTACGCTTAATATTTATTCTTACTGCTTAACGTTTAAAACAGTACACCTATCATATTCTCAAAAAAAACTTAATATGCTTTTACTAAACACAATTTTATATTAAGTAATGAAATGGCATTTGCGTTTATCAGTTTCTTATCCGGCACATGGCAAGATAAGTAAAATTTAATTGGTTTTGACTAAGATTTTTACGTTTTGAAATGTAAAAATAACATGCAATGAAAACAAACTTTCAAATTGTTGTTCATATTGATCTGTTCATCGTTAATAGAACTATATTATAAAAAAACTTGTCATCGATTCATCCGTCCAACAGTTACTTATTTAAAATATTTTATACAAATACAAATCTCTATTCGGAAATACACCCATCTATTACAAAACACAATATGAATCAGATGGTATGCTAAAATAAATGTTATGACCAAATAACTATTACAACAACAACAAAGAGGAAGTAAAGCAAAACTTTCTATTGCATGACCGACCGGACAACAAGTGTGTTCTGCAATGAAAAGAACAAGAGAAATGGAAAACAAAAACTATGTGAAACAACACCCCCATCCATTCTATAAAGGTAACCACAATCATGGTAACAAAACATTCTCCTAGGACAGTGACAATTGGTTAAAAGGCTAAAACCCCTGATACCACAAAAGTAACAGCTATATCTACTACCCTCATACCATGGCAAAGCAAACAAACCACGAACAAGCAATTAAGTTTTAGAGGCAATTAGCAACAGTTACAATCACCAATGCGTCCCCATACCCATACTCCACATTATCAAATGAAAGTGTTTGCGATGACGAAAAAGGAAGAATGTCATGCTTTTAAACAGCAGGATATATAAGCTGTTATTATAATGGGAACACAATGGTCAAACAAACATTATCAAAATGAAGTTTTTAAATGCCGTTTCTTCTACCTTCCATTACCCTGTCCAAACTTGCAAAGTAAATGGGTAAAGCTTTCAGAGTTAAACACTCAATTTTGTTTTTATAACGAAGCCTGCAACCCCTTTTTCCAAACTCATAGGAATTGCATATAATTCGTTTTACTGAATATAATTTTGAAACTTTTAAATGATTTAAACGCCCCAAAACTGGCAAAAGCCATCTATATCAAATACTCACCCATTCGGCACAGAAATATTGGCCCCATCCAGTATGGCCTGGGCCAACTGGAAGTCTAAAGCTTCCGCTGCAGTCGTTGCTGCCCGTAGGGCATCCCAGATTTCTTTGCGCCCATCAAAGGCTGGTGCTGTATCCCAAAATTCATCACGTTTCGAACGCAATTGGCCCTCTGTCAGAGGAACATCTGAACGCCAGCGTATTGTCTCATGACACAAAGGACGATTTTTGCGTGCCGGACCAACTTGAGTACCTTACAGGATATAATCGAAAGAGAGCATGAAAAAACCATTGAATTCGCTTTGGAGTAATACACCAATGACATATGTACATACCTGCTGTCGGCGGTCTGGATACACTGGCTGATGATACACTTACTGTTTCATTATCACCACTATAACGTCCCACACAACCTCCCATTTCACTCGACAACGGAAAAGATACGAGACCTCAACACCACTCACTGAACCACCACTTCCGAAATTCCACAATTATTGTAAAAAAAACCTCACTTGCACTTGATTTTTATTAAAACTTGAAATGTTTTTGTATTGTCACTTCTGCTTCCTGTCTCTCGTTCTATGTGTTTTTAGCTGAAATTATTTTCTTCTCGTCTACTTAAGGTCACTTGTCGTCGCTGTCACCTTTTCTTCTTCTGTTCATAATTCATTCATTTTTATCCTGGATTTGTGCTCTGAAATTCTGTGCGAAATTTGTGTTTGATATGTTTTACTGGAAAATTTTATTTTGTGCACTCAATAATTTTAATTTTTTTATTATTCATTTTACAAAAATATTTCTGATTATTCTTTTCCAGAGTTCAGTGGTGATACAGATCGACGACGGCGGTGAGCGTTTCCGACGGCGTCCATTTGAGACCCAATAGGGAACTGTAAGTATGTTTTTGATTAATCGATATTTGTAAATAGATTAATCGAAAAGTGTATCGATTCTTACAGCATGTTTGCAGGGGTTTTTAAACAATGTTGTTATTCAGAATTAAAAATAAACAAGGAACTATAAATAAGAAATATATTTACCATAAACAACCAAACAAAAAATGCTTCCATTGGATCTTAAATTACGCTGTTTACACAGCATCATTAGCCATATAAACTAACATGATTGATAAATTCATACTTTTTGTTTTCTCGAGTTTATGGAAATTTGAATCAAAGGACATGTAATATGTATAAAAATAAATAGAAAACATAATTTCCCCTCTTCCAAATGTATTTTTCTTAAAAAAAACAGGAAATTGTCATTTAGTTTTAATATTTTTCTGTTTTTAAATTCTACAGGAGAGAAACATGTCAAAAATGTGATCTGCTCCGAACTTGCAATATTGTAAAAGTTTTTACTACGATAACCGATTTTCCTTTAATGAGAGCGAAAAAAATCAAAACTAGTAGATTCTTGCAGTCACTGGAACAGATCTATTATTTTATTGTTACAGACATACACAAAATTTATGCATTCTTTTTTCTAGAAATATATTTATTTATTTATTTTTTTTTTTTTTTTGTATTTCCAAATGTCATAAACCAGATTACAGCCTCACTTTCTTACGAAATTTGATAATTAACCTTAACCAATTAACCAAGGGCCAATATTTCTTCTGGTAAAAATTAAAAATATACATTTATCCCTGACAAAAATCCATTCCGTCCCTAGAAAATGAGAGCATTTATGGAAAGAGTAATAAATGCTCTCATTTTCTAGGGACTCGAAAGAGTAATAAATGCTCTCATTTTCTAGGGACGGAATGGATTTTTGTCAGGGATAAATGTATATTTTTAATTTTTAGCAGAAGAAATATTGGCCCTTGGTTAAGGTTAATTATCAAATTTCGTAAGAAAGTGAGGCTGTAACCTGGTTTGTTCCAGAGCTGCAAGAATTTAAAAAAGTTTACTACGGTAACCGATTTTCCCTTTTTGATGTCGGAAAAAAATATTAAAACCAGTTGGTTTATGCACGTTTTGGACCAGAGCATATATTTCGAAAAAATTCCAAATCAAGTGCATTACATTTTGTTATGCCTTTTTTATACCCTACACCACAAGGTGGTCAGGGTATTATATCCTTGTGCATTTGTTTGTAACAGGCAAAAGGAAACAAGATAGACCCATAGTTCCTTTTGATGATCTGCATAGAATCACTTTCTGAGTTGATTTATGCATGTCAGTCCGTCTGTCCGTCCGTCCTTATTGAAATTGGAGATAATCGGTGAAAAATTAGATACAGCTCCCATATACATCTTCGTCCGATTTGCCTTTTATTGTGCATCAAACGTGTAATATCAGCCCGAATAGTATGGAATTTTGCACATACAACCAAATTAGGCATGAAAATAAGTATGCCAAATTTGATCGGTTCAGATATAGCTATAGCTCCCATATATATTGTTCATCCGATTTGTTATTTTTGCCCTCCGCAGCCGTAATATGCACTCTGTAACAACAAAATTGGGGGAAATATATAAAATGCAGCTCAGAAATACCTTTGCTAAATTTTATCGAGATCGGTTCAGATTTGAAGATAGCTCCCATAAATAACTTCGTCCGATTTACTTTTTATTGTGCACCAAAATATTTGCCCAAATGGGATGTAATTTGGCACATGCGACCGAATTTAGTCTAGAAGGTAGTATGCCAAATTTGGTGATCAGAGCGGTTCAGATATAGCTATAGCTCCCATATATATTGTTCATCCGATTTGTTGTATTTGTTACCCACAGCCGTATTATGCACTCCGTAAAAACGGTATTCAGGGAAATATATCAAATACAGCTCAGAAAAATCTTTGCCAAATTTTATCGAGATCGTTTCAGATTTGGATATAGCACCAAATGGGCATTATAAGTCCGAATTTAAAAGATACAAATGCTTCGGCATATTTGGTCCTTTGAATTTTAAATTATAATTATAATCATAGGGTGTATGATTGAATTCTCCCATAAAAACTTTTAATTGTTATGTGGAGCTCAACTAAATTAGCAAAGTGGTGTAGGGTATCATAAAATCGGCCCCGCCCGACTTTAGTGCTTTCTTTACTGGTTTTTTCAATGGTTATGACTTTTATTAAGTTTGTCATTCTGTTTGTAACTCATCGAAATAATCATCATTTGTAACTCATCGCAATAATCATTATTTCGATGAGTTACAAAAAGAATGACAAACTTAATATATTCTCTCTTGTAAAAAAGTTATAACAAAATGTAATGCAATTCCTAGTTTTCCACTTTAATGTTAACATTTCCAGCCTAAAAGTATGCTGCTTTATTCAAATTTTCATACAACGGATTTACCCATGGATTCATTGTTTGGATTATTGATTCTATCAAATGTATGTGTATATTTAATATATCCTTGTGACTAATGCACTTATTTTCAACCACTGTATTTTTATAAAAAATTGGTACAAACAAGAATTGGAAATATTGAAATAAAAAATAGTAACTGAAATACAAAGGTATAGAGTTTTCTTAAAACTATTTTTTAAGTATTGAGATATCACAGTTTTTTGGGTTCTTTTAAATAGAATTACTTTTCTGATCCACGCTAATGTTGACTACATTTCTACACACACACACACACACACATCCATGTGTCTGTTTGCAAAAACATCAGCAACGTGAAGTCTTTCAGTAAAGCGCTTACAACAAGAAACCAGGCGACCTCGACGGACAATCTGAATGCATGTCTGAGGAAATTCTTTTTATTGTTGTTGGTTTTATTAAAGGTTCATTTTCTCGTAACTACATAGTGACGTTGGTTAATCGATTAAATTTTATAATTCAGTTACCCGTTGATGAGAGTAACTTTTCTATTGATCGAGTTCGTGATATATTCATGAAATCGACTTAGGGGGCACAATTCAGGTACAATTCAGCATAGGTAACATAAATTAATATTCTCAGGCATTATTACAAAAAAAAATTTTGGCTGACTTCAAAAGAATGTTGAGTTATGATAAGTTATATGAAAAGTGAATAATAGATAATAAACTCTATCGGAACTTATTGATTTAAGAAGGAGCTAAATAAATACTGCTTTCAAAAAAATTGAATGCATATACCAGTTATATATTTTACGATATATTTTAAACATAAATGCTTCTAAATTATATACTTTTTGAGTTATGTTTACCCTTTGTGCAGATGTAAATAGATTCTAAGGATCATATAAGAACAGTTTCAGGGATTCCCCTGCAAATTCTTACTGAGACAAAACTGGAAAAAATAAACAGACGCGTCTCTGTAAAAATCCGCAAAGAATCAGCTGATTTGTCAAATAAAAATAATGTTCACATAAGCTCGCAGACGATGCATTTCATTAATATTTAAAAAAATGAACCAAAAAAGTTCAGGCAAATAAGCTCTTTATGTATTCCCTCCCTTAAGTCCGCCAAATAAGCGCTTTATGCATTCCCACCTTTAGTTCTTCTAAATAAAACAATTGAGATGCAGGTTCATAAAGAGCTTTTTTCTTGGCTTAAATCATCGGCTGACTTCTTCATAAATAAACAAAGGAATGTAGGTTGAACAACTATAAATTATCGGCCAAAATTGAACTAGGTCAACCTTAAACTCCTTTATTCTTTTGCGAAGAATCCAGCCGATGACTTAAGCCAGTCAAAAAAGCGTTTTAAGTGTTCTCACCTTTAGGCTTGCTAATTCTAAAATAGAAATGTTTACAAAGCAAAACACCAGGCACACATAAAGGAAGAAGGATAATCAAAGAAAGTCAGTAGAACTTCACATAACAACTAAAAGTTTTTATTGGGAATTTTTGAGAATTATAACTTGCCAACTATAATTTAAAGTCCAAAGGAACTAATATATGAGAGGAATATCCACCTGTGAATCGATTTCGACTAAATTTGTCAAGGCATTTGTGCTTTTTCAATTCGTGCTTGTATTACCCATTTAGTGCCCAATAAAAGGTAAATCAAACGAAGATATATATATGGGAGCTATATCCAAATCTGAACAGATCTCGATAAAATTTGGGAAAGGTATTTCTGTGCTGTATTTACTACATTTCCCCAAATATCGTTGCTACAGAGTACATATTATGGCTGCGGACGACAAAAATATCAAATCGGATGAAAAATATATATGAGAGTTTTTGCTATATCTGAACCGATTTCGATCAAATTCGGAATACTTATTTCCAGGCTTAATTTTGGTCATATATGCAAAATTTCGTACTATTTGGGTTGATATTACACGTTTGGTGCACAATAAAAAACAAATCGGATGAATATGAGTGCTATATCTAAATTTTGACCAATTATCTCAAATTTTAATAGTGTTCGTCCCTTGGTCAAACAAATGACTTGTTCAAAATATCATCTGTATCGAGCAATAAACGCGACATACATTGATAGACGGGCGAACATGCATAAATCGACTCAGAATGGGATTCTATGCAGATCATCAAAAGGAACAAATAAATCTCATTTCCTTTTGTCTGTTGCAAACAAATGCACAAAGACATAATTCTCTGACCACCTTGTGGTGTAGGGTATATAAAGAGTTCCAGGTGATTGAAATAATAGACTAAGAAAACGAAATTAAATATTTAAATTCAGAAATCAAACTTTTTTATTTGGCAAAATATATTAGTACATTTGAGTCTTTAATTCAATATAATTCTATTTAAATTAATTTTTTTTACTGTTCACTTTTTGGATTATGTAGTTTTGAGTATCTTCTGGTATAAATGTTCATACTATCTTCGATTTTAGACTACTTTAAGCCACAAGTAAAGGTGAGGGTACATAAGAAGCTTGGCATCATAGCGAGGTATATTATAAAGGAAAACGACGGCAGGATTCGAGTGCGGCTCTGGCATGCCTTAATGATGTATCACAAAATGTGCCATGTAAAGACTTCAAGCTGCTTAACTCCTTTGCTTTAAGTACTTTTGTTACCTATTTTAGGATGATTTTTGAAGATCGCGTTGGCTTCGTTAGTCAAAATATGAAAAGTCCATCTGTAATAGTTCAACATTTTCTATTCTTCGACCCCAATTAAATGCTGTACTATTTATTCCGTTGTATTATTTTTCGCACACTTATAATATAAATTAAAACAAGTAAGAAAGCAGCTAAGTATGGACCGAACTTTTAATAGCCTCTACCATTTGGAAGGGACTTGAAATTTTTCAATAAAAAGGAAATCCATCGAAAAGCACAAGTGAAAACCGTTA